ATATACATCACTCATGTTTAGTTAGTGCTGATTATGTGCTAGGCATTTTACATGCATGATCTCATTAAATTCCCAGGACAGGTGGGACATGAAGTGGGCCATCAAGGCTGAGCAGGAGTTGGCTCTCAGCAGAGGGAATATGAAAGAGCAACCTGGGGAGCTTAAGTATAAAGGTAAGGGCGGACATGGTGTACTCCTCGGGAAGAGAGAGGAGTCAAGAGATCAGGGCCAAAAATGATAGGAGGTAGGAGTCTGGAAGGGAAGTAGAGAATTATCGAATTCCTGGGTTCCATGAACAAGACATGGCAGCTTAGAAAGTGTCTGAGGGTAGACCCCCCAACATGGGCCCCAGGCCCCAGCAAAGATGCCCCCTGATTGGAGCCATGTATGCCTTCAATTCCCAGTCTTTGGAGCCTTCAGGTTTCCAGCGGTTGCACTGTCTGACAATATAGCCTTAAGCCACATTTGGCTCTTTAAATTTAAATCAATCCAAGTTAAATAAAACTTAAAATTTAGTTCCTCCATGACAATAACCTCATTTCAAATGCTCAATTGCCACATGTGTCTAGCGGCTATAATATGTGATAGTGCAGATATGAGACATTTCCATCATCGCAGGAAGTTCTACTAGACAGGGATGGCACAGAGGAATAGCCACTGTTCTATACAGAGCTAGAAGTTTCTTTCTCTATTTCTTTCTGATCCTCCATAAGCAGCAAAAGTGATAGCAGGTGCCACACTGCTAAGTATTATAAGCTTGACCTCCTTTAATCATTGCAGATATTACTGACCCTATTTAACAGATGAGTAAACTGAGTCTGAGACAGGTGAAGTGTCCAGAGTTGCATAGTTTATAACCAGCAAAGCCAGGACTTGACCCAGTTCCTCCCAATCCACAGCTGCATCCTTAACCAGCATGCTACACTGCTCCTGCACCCCAGCAAACAGGTGGATCCAGGTTGAACAGATTTGTGGCGGTAAGCCAGATATTTCCTTCAGACCTGGTTCTCACTGACAGATTGTGGTTTGAGAATTGAACTAAATCTGCTTCTGATTTTGCTTCTGGGTGAAGGGAAGCAAAATAGTTCAACCTGGATGTTTCTCATGATCCCATATTTAAAATATCCTTCGTGGGTGGATCACTCGAGGCCAGGAGTTCAAGAGCAGCCTGGCCAACATGATGAAACCCTGTCTCTACTAAAAATAAAAATAAAAAAATTTTAATTAGCTGGGCATGGTGGCGCGCACCTATAATCCCAGCTACTCGGGAAGCTGAAGTAGGAGAATCACTTGAATCTGGGAAATGGAGGTTACAGTGAGCTGAGATCATGCCACTGCACTCCAACCTGGGCGACAAGCAAGACTCCATCTAAAAAAAATAAATAATACAAATGTATATGCCCATCACATAGGACTCCAAAATTAAGTTTTGTTGGCAAAACACTTCAACTGCATTATTTAAACAAAGATCTTAATTGATTAAAAATAAAGAAGAATGATGGTAAAAAGAAACTCTCTCTGCAAATTCCCATAAGACGACCCATGTGATCATTTTCAAATTGCCTGGGTAATTGTACCTTGTAATTTTTGTAAATTGGCTTCACTCCGCAGGAGATGTTGGGTTACTTGCTCTGTAGCCTCTGGCTTACAGTGAGCATCCTAACCAGTTTTTCCTATCTCTGTTTTAAAAAAGGAAGGATCTCCTGTAATCCCAGCACTTTGGGAGGCCAAGGCAGGCGGATCACCTGAGATCAGGGGTCGAGACCAGCCTGGCCAACGTGGTGAAACCCAATCTCTACTAAAAAAACAAAAATTAGCTGGGCGGGTGGTGGTGTGCCTGTATCCCAGCTATGTGGGAGGCTGAGGCAGAAGAGTTGCTGAACCTGGGAGGCAGAGGTTGCAGTGAGCCGAGATCACGCCACTGCACTCCAGCCTGGACAACAGAGTGAGACTCTGTCTCAAAAATAAAATAAATAAAATTAAAAAGGCAGGATCTTGGCAGCTCATCAGTCACACCTAGTTTTCAAATCCCAGCTGTACGATATGCTGGACGATGGGGCCTTGGGAAACTTACATACCCCTCTGGGTTCAGTTTTTTCATGTGTGAAATGGGGACTTTTAATGTCTGTTGAAATTAAATGAAATAACTTCTGTGCAAGTACCCGGAATGTTATAGAGGCCCAAATACATTAACCTCCTCCCTTCTCTGCTGAATCCTCACTTATGGTCATGTGATGTAGGATCAGTAGTTTCAGAGCTGAAAGGGAACTGAGTGACATTTAGAGCAGCACTCTCAACAGACGATACTTCTCTTATGATCATGTAGGTAACCGTTAACTTGGGAAATGCCTGTAATCAAGAGCCACTCTGGGATATGTTTTGGTGACATTTTGAAGAGGGTGAAACAGAATGTTCCCTCTGACAAATTGCAAACCTCTCCAGGCAGAAGAGCGGAAGTGGCTTTTGACATGGGCCACAGGGACAACGTGAAACACTGCAGGCAGGGTATCTGGGTGGCCCAGAGGGAGCTGCTGGAGGGGTCACTGGGGGTCTCGCTCTCAGAGCTTGGACCGTGGCTTCTGGTTCATCCAAGATGACTGTCATTGTACCAGATTGGGGGATGGAGGAGTCCCCAAAGCTAGGAACATAGAACAGAAGGCAAGACAATGGCCAGTCTTAATGCCTGGGACCCAAACCAAGATGAGCCACAGGGCAAGCTGCATTGCCCAGTTAGAGCAGACAGAGGCCATGGTCAGAGTGAAATTGGATAGGAGAGCCAAAAGGAGAAAGGCTGTTGGGAAGTAGGAGGGCAGTACTAGAGAGTAGAAGGACTCAGAGAGTAGGACAGGTTCTGATGAGGCCATCTGGATTTTGGTGCCAACTCCCATCTCCATCTCAGAGGGTGCCCAGCCTGTGGAACCTAGCTGAGATCACCTCAGCCTGAGCCTGTAGAGTTCAGGGACAGGAAGCCAGGAAAACGTTAGTGAGTAAGAAGTCAGATTCTGGCCAGGCATGGTGGCTCATACCTGTAATCCCAGCACTTTGGAGGCCAAGGCAAGAGGATCACTTGAGTTTGGAGTTTGAGACCAGCCTGCCACAACACAGTGAGACCCGTCTCTACAAAAAATTACAACATTGCCAGGTAGGGTGATGCGCGCCTGTAGTCCCAGCTACTGGAGGCAGAGGTGGGAGGATCGTCGAGCCTAGGAGGGTCAAGGCTGCAGTGAGCTAGGATTGCACCACTGCACTCCAGCCTGGGAAAAGAGCAAGACTGTCTCCAAAAAATGTCAGGCTCTAGATCCAGAACAAGCCTGGGTTTGAATCCACCATCACTAGCTGTGTGACTTAGGCTAGTGACTTAACCACTCTGAACTATAGTTTCCTCATGTGATGATTGTGAGGATGATGCTGGTGGTCTTGAGAAGATGCTGGTTGGTCATGATGCAAGGAGGAGGAAGAGGATGGTGATAATGGTGATTGCTGCTAATGAAGTGATGGCACTGATCATGAAGATGAGGATATGATGAGGTTGATAATGATGATGGGTGAGGTTTGATAATGATGAGGGTGATTATGGTGATGCAGGATGGGATGGTGATTATGGTGGAAGCTGATGAGGCAAGTTAGATGATGATGATTACAATAATGATGATAGGTAACAATGAGAACGATGGGTGGCTATGGTGATGGACTGTGGTAGTGGTGGTGATAAAGATGATGGTGACAGTGGTGGGTGATGATGATGATGACAGTGACAACCCCTACTTTAGAAGGATGTGATGAGTGGGCTGGAATACTAGGCTTTTGCTACTGTGTGACCTTGAGCTACTTAGCTTCTCTCTGTCTCCCTTACCCCATCCATAAAATACTGATTAACAATCATTCCTGACAGGCTTAGTGGCTCACGCCTGTAATCCCAGCACTTTGGGAGGGCCGGGGGTGGGAGGACCACTTGAACAAGGAGTTTGAGACCAGCCTGGGCAACATAGTGAGACCCATCTCTACAAAAATATTTAATAGTTAGCCAGACGTGGTGGTACACCTTGTAGTCCCAGCTACTTAGAAGGCGAGGCAGGAGAATCACTTGAATCAGGAGATCAAGGCTACAGTGAGCTGTGATTGTGCCACTGTATTCCAGCTGGGATACAGGACAAAGGCTGGGGAAAAACAAAAACAAAAACAGTCACTCCTGTCTCAAAGGGTTTGTCACGAGAGTTAAAATGCACTAAAACACATGACCAGGCATGGTGGCTCACACTTGTAATCCCAGCACTTTTGGAGGCTGAGGCAGGGGCATTGCTTGAAGCCCAGGAGTTAGAGATCAGCCTGGCCAACCAGGAGAACCATGTCTAATATAAATAAAATAATAATTTTTAAAAAACCCAATGTAAAGTGCTTGGCACATAGTAAGTGCTTAATAAATGCTATCTCTCCTTATTAATAGTATTATTATTTTTGTCATTATGTTCCCTATTATTTCCAAATATTCTGTTTGTCCTGAGCTGCTATTGTTCAAAGCAAAAGTCTTAGGGTCAGAATAACTTATTACCAAAGCCACAGGACCTCTCTATCTTCCTTCCTCCTACTTTTTCCACTGGTAGGTGTCTGAGCATTAAGTTGTCCAGGGGTTCATGGTACATGGACTATTACTAGGGAAACAGGCCTCCTGTGTTCCCAGATCCGTGGAATGAAGAAGGGAGAGGGACAGGCAAAATCCTTCTCCTTGCCATCCTGAAATGATGTCCACAAAGATAGGGATATGCCAGCTGTCAAAGTCCCCTTGGATGCACTCCCTTTGTGATTGATACCCGGAACTGCCTTCCCACGTGTCACTGTCGATCTTTATGAAGCAGCGGGCGGGGTACCCAAAGCTTGCTGGCTCATAACGAGTTATGTGAGTGAGCCACTGCGGTTCTGTACAGACTCAGGACTTCCAGATCGAAGCAACTAGCAGTCCCTCCTGATGTCCCCTTCCTCACCTGCCCCACCTTGCCTTTCAGAGATTTGGACGGCAAATCACACAAACCTCTGCCCCTTGGTGTGGAGAATGACCGAGTCTTCAATGACCTATGGGGGAAGGGCAATGTGCCTGTGGTCCTCAACAACCCATATTCAGAGAAGGAGCAGGTAAGTGCTTGATGCCAAGCTGGTACCACTGCTTCCCATGCCTTCTCGACCCCTCCCAGGTGGGAAGCTGAGGGGAGGAAAGCTAAACCCTAAACTGTGTCGTGATGGAAATCAGCCGCCGTGGCTGGAGAACTTGGGATGCCGAGGCCAGGAGTGTTTATCCTCGGATGTGGACCTTGACTTCGTTTCTGTGTGGTTTGGTATTGTTTGTGAGCTTACCATTTTTCACGTTTTAATTCTGTTTCTACCGGGAAAGGCATTCACATGGCTCCAAATTTAAAAGATATGAAAGATACATGGTAGCTGGTCACAGTGCCTCATGCCTGTAACCCCAGCATTTTGGGAGGTCAAGGCAGAGGACAGCTTGAGGTCCAGAGTTCAAGACCAGCCTGACCAACATGGTGAAACCCCATCTCTACTAAAAATACTAAAATTAGCCTGGCATGGTGGCAGGCGCCTGTAGTTCCAGCTACTCAGGAGGCTGAGGTAGGAGAATGGCGTGAACCCGGAAGGGGGAACTTGCAGTGAGCCGAGATCGCGCCATTGCACTCCAGCCTGGGTGACAGAGCAAGACTCCATCTCAAAAAAAAAAAGAAAAAGAAAAAAGACAACTAGCCTGGGCCACATAGCAAGACCCTATCTCAATTTTTTTTTTTTTAAATTTTTTCTTAATTAGTAGAGCATAATGGCATATATCTGTAGTTCCTAGCTACTCAGGTGACTGAGGCAGAAGGATCACTTGAGGACAGGAGTTCAAGGCTGCAGTGAGCTGTGATATAGCACCTCTGCACTCTAGCCTGAGTGACAGAGTGAGACCCTGTCTCTTAAAAAAATTGAAATAAATAAGCAAAAAGATACATAATGAAAAGCTGTGTATGTCCCTAATTCCAGTCACATAGTTTTCCTCCCCAGAGTCAAGCAATGTTAATGGTTTTTGTGTGTTCTTTTAGCCGTATTTTATGCATTGACAAGCACACACATTATTTTTGAATATTTTTACACAAATAAGAGCACATTACACATGTTGTTTTATACCTTGCTTTTTCACTTATTAACATATCGTAGAGATTAGTCCCCATTAGTAGGTAAAGAGGATCTTGTTTCCTTTTTTACAGCCATATAATATTCCATTGTGTGATCATCCTGTAATTCTGTCAGTCCTTCATAATGAGCCATTGTCAATATTTGCTATGACAGTGCTATAATGAGTGACCTTGTGCACATACCTTGTTTGGCACATGGATAGGCTAATCAATAGAATACGTTCCTAAAGGCCAGGCATGGTGGCCCATGCCTGTAATCCAACACTTTGAAAGGCTGAGGCAGGAGGATCACTTGAGCCCAAGAGTTTGAGATCAGCCTGAGCAACATGACAAAACCCTATCTCTAAAAAAAAAAACAAAAATGAGCTGGGTATGATGGCACGTGCCTGTTGTCCCAGCTACCCTGGAGACTGAGCTGGGAGAATCGCCTGAGCCTAGAAGGTCAAGGCTGCAGTGAGCTGTGATTGTATTACTGCACCACTGCGCTCTAGCCTGGGCAACAGAGGGAGACCCTGTCTCAAAAAAAAAACAAAATAGAATAAATTCCTAGAAGTGGAATTGTTGGGTCAAAATTCGTGCACATTTGTGATTTTGGTGGTACTTGCCATAGTGGTTGGATCAATCTTACCAGCTAAGTAGCAGAGTGACTGTTTCCTCACAGCCTCGCCAACTCCATCTGTTATCCAACTTTTTAGTCTTTGCCAATCTGTTCAGATGTGTTTTGACAGCTAAGTCAGTATCATTTACAAAGAGTGACTAGATTTGGCTGGAGATCAGCAGCGCCTTTGTCTCACCTGTCCAGTAAGCTGATGGGCCAGGTCAGGGTAACCGTAAGGAAGCGTGTGAATTTCACACCCATCCTCTGCATTGCAGTGAAGTCGGGGTGGAGTGACCAGTGGGAGGTCGGAACATGGGGGTGGCCTAGGTGACTCAGCAAGTGATGACCTGCTTCATTTTCCTGATGCTTGGCCTACAGATGGCAGCTTTCACTGCCAGCACATCTCAACAAGGCCTCAGAGCCTCTCTACATAGCTTCAGCGGGGAGGATGAGACATTCTAGAGCCTTGGTGGCAATTGCTTTCCTTAGCCGCTGATGGCTGGCCAGGAAGAAAAGGACATCGGGGTTTCTGCAGTGGGTGAGACCCGTGATCCCACTAGCTGAATGTCCCTCTAGCAGTGATATCTGGAAATGTTTGGTGGAAAAGCACAACTGTAGACTTTTATTATGTTGTCTTCAAAAGTCAAGACCACACCATAAGCTTTAGGAAGCTATGCTCCATTCATGATTAAATGAACAAATATGGTTTAAAGCTCTTTTATATTTTCTTAATTGCAAACAAAGAGGTATGGCCATCATATGAGCCCTCACAAGACAAAGAAAGACAGTAAGAGGCAGCCTCGGGCCAGATCTAGCCTGCAGACCTGATTTGTTAGGTCTACACCATATTGTATTAAGAGATAATTTATAGTCATATTTTAAATGTACTGCCAATGTTTCAGATTTTTACATAAATATATCTACAGCTTCATGACACAAGTATACATATGTAACAAACCTGCACGTTATGCACATGTACCCTAGAACTTAAAGTATAATAATTAAAAAAAAAAGAAAAAATAAAATAAAATAAATTAAAAAATAAAATAAAATTTACATAGTCTAAGGCCAGGTGCGGTGGCTCACACCTATAATCCCAGCACTTTAGGAGGCCGAGTGGGACAAATCACGAGGTCAGGAGTTCAAGACCAGCCTGACCAACATGGTAAAACCCCATGTCTACTAAAAATACAAAAATTAGCTGGCCAGGCGTGGTGGCTCAAGCCTGTAATCCCAGCACTTTGGGAGGCCGAGACGGGTGGATCATGAGGTCAGGAGATCGAGACCATCCTGGCTAACACGGTGAAACCCCGTCTCTACTAAAAAATACAAAAAAAACTAGCCGGGTGAGGTGGCGGGCGCCTGTAGTCTCAGCTACTCGGGAGGCTGAGGCAGGAGAATGGCGTGGACCCGGGAGGCGGAGCTTGCAGTGAGCTGAGATCCGGCCACTGCACTCCAGCCTGGGAGACAGAGCCAGACTCCGTCTCAAAAAAAAAAAATTAGCTGGGCATGGTGGCAGGTGCCTGTAATTCCAGCTACTCAGGAGACTGAGGCAGGAGAATCGCTTGAACCCAAGAGGCGGAGGTTACAATCAGCCAAGATCGCACTACTGCACTCCAGCCTGGGTGACGGAGCGAAACTCTGTCTTAAAAAAAAAAAAAAAAAAAGTACATAATCTGACCACATTGCGCCTATACTCTTTTTTTTTTAAAGACAATGTCTTGCTGTGTCTCCCAGGCTCAGGTGCAGTGGCACCATCTTAGGTTACTCACTGCAACCTCAATCTCTTAGACTTAAGAGATCCTCCCACCTCACCCTCCCAAGTAACTAGGACTACAGGCTGGTGCCACCAGACCTGGCTAATTTTTTAGATTTTTTGTAGAGACAGGATCTCGCTATGTTGCCCAGGCTGGTCTTGAACTCCTAGTTCAAGCAATCCTCCCTTCTCAGCCTCTTAAAGTGCTGGGATTATAGGTGTGAGTCACTGCAGCCAACCACATTCTTATGGGGCAACAATCTGCATAGACTGAATAGCAGCTGCCCCCTCTAGACAGAGTGCAGCTTTCTAGTTGGCCACAAACCTCACCACTCCCTATTGTCTCCCTCTTATTAAGGCCAGTGTCCATTGTCATTTATAGTAGCATTAGTGCTTTTGATTTCTTATAGTAGAAGGAAAGTTAAATCTTTTCATATCCATGTTTTTTTAATTATTATTATTATTTATTGTGAGACAGACTCTGGTGCTATCTCTGCTCACTGCAACCTCTGCCTCCTGGGTTCAAGCAGTCCTTCCCTCTCAGCCTCCCGAGTAGCTGGAATTACAGGCGTGTGCCACCACACTCGGGTAATTTTTACGTTTTTTGGAGATGGGGTTTAACCATCTTGGCCAGGCTGGTCTCGAACTCCTGGCCTCAGGTGATCCACCTACCTTGGCCTGCCAAAGTGCCGGGATTACAGGTATGAGCCACTGCACCTGGTCCCATGTCATTTTTATAAGTGGTAGGTAGAGATGGACCAAAAGGTTCATGTTTTAAGAAAGATTTTTTTTGGCTGGGCACAGTGGCTCACACCTGTAACCCCAGCACTCTAAGAGGCCAAGGCAGGAGGATCACTTGAGCCTAGGAATTTAAGACCAGCCTGGGCAACATGGCAAAACCCCGTCTCTACAAAAAAGTATAAACTATTAACTGGGCATGGTGGCATGCACCTGTAGTCCCAGCTACTTGGGAGGTTGAGGCGGGAGTATCGCTTGAGCCAGGGAAGTTGAGGCTACAGTGTGCCGTGATAGTGCCACTGCACTCCAGCCTGGGTGACAGAGCAAGAACCTGTCTCCAAAAAAAAAAAAAAAAAAAAAAAAGCTAAGAACATTCTTCATTTCTACACACACAAGTCTTTCTTTTTTAATATGCGACTGAGTGTCCTGTTTTGAAGTTACCCAGCCTTCTTTACTGATTTAGCTTACCCACCTACCACCTCTAGGTATCAGTTTGTAATTCCTGGTGTGCAGTAACCTTGAGATCTCGATTCGAAGGAAGAAACAGGGGAGGCCTCGACCCTGCGAGAAAGACACTAAAAGTCAGTGCAGAAATCTGAGCAATGGCAGACTCTGGTCATTTCCTTGCACACTGCCCACCTTAGTTAGACAATGCCAACTTGAAAGCATAACTTTGGTCTTCAAGTCTGAGGAGTTGAGCTCAACATTGAGAACAGGGCCTCAGGGTTTTGAAGATCAGATAAGCATTTGCCTAAAACAAAATGGAAAAAGGCATTATAGTAAAAGGAATGCGGGGCCACGCCTGTAATCCCAGCACTTTGCGAGGCCGAGGTGGGAAGATTCCCTGAGGTCAGGAGTTTGAGAC